TTTTTTTTTTTTTTTTTTTTTTTTTTTTTTTTTTTTAAGTAATTAAAAAAGGTAAAGCTATTAATATGTTTGTTATTTTATTTTCTATAGATAATTCTGGGCTCTTCTTCGAAGGCTCGCAGAGAGATTCTTGCTGAGATGGGATACGAGTTCACAATAGTGGTATGTGTTATAATGTAATTGCTTCAAACTTATGACTATGATTCATTAATGTGATGAAAGATTGAAATAGTTTGGTTTGGCTTGCAATTTAGACTGCAGACATTGATGAGAAAAGTATTAGGAGGGAAAAGCCAGAAGATTTGGTAATGACATTAGCTGAGGCAAAGGTATGAATTCTTTGGTTTTATATTTGAGCCTGAGAGGCAGTTGAAACACAAGATCCTATCTTTGCTTGATTTCTAATAAGATTTATATCAGAAGAATACAAAAATTATTTAAGGTATTTGCATTGTCGTGATTGAACATGCAGAAGGATTTCAGGTTGTATGTGCCCATCCAGAAACTTCCTTTTAAAATAAATAAATAAATAAATAAAATAATAGAAAAATATATCATAAAGTTGAGAGCTGTGTCCACAAGCAGTTTGAAATCCTTCCCATCTATTGATGCATTTTAGTGTTCTAACCATGATATACTTATTAGGCTGATGCTATTGTGCAAAGGCTTTCTACTGGAGTTTCATTGGAGGAAGATACTTCTACAACACTGTTAATTACTGCAGACACAGTATGCCGTATTCTTTTTGTCTTACACTATTGTATGTTTCAACTATGTATCATTGATTAAAAGAAAAAAAATTACAGCTAACTTGTCCACATATGCATAAAGCTGAAAAGGCATTGGGCATGAGTTCAGTTTTCTTTTTGCTGATAAAATCTGTGCTACTCAGTCTTGGTTTCTACCAACTTAACCTTACGGATACAGTTGTCCATCCCAGCTCATATTCTAGTTTCTAATTACAATCATATAAATTAATTTAATTTTGATGAAAGAATATGTTAGCAGAAAGAAAGGAAAGTGGTACATCTGGGGGGAAAAATAAGGACTTCTCCTAGTGAAAGCTTTTTAGAAGATGTTCCCAAGCCATGAGCTTTCTTCCATTTTCATATATGAAACAGATCATTTAATCAGAGAAAGTTAACACAAATTAAAGCAGATAAACCTACTGAAAACATAAATCAAACTTGGTTGTGCTTTTATGTGTATTAACATTCTCTGATGCAAATTCTGCTTTTTCACTAGTCAAGCTAAAGATTTAGCCTAGACACTGCTTTTTTATTTACACTTTTGTTTTTGGGTTCACCATATTTTCTACATATCATATTCTATATGTTCTTGCTTAAACTTTAAGTTATAATTTGAGTCATGTATGGTCAGTCATCCTGTACTTATTTTCTTTTTGTTAAAAGTCTAGACTTTTGTAAGACTGCTTTTGTTGCTGCAAATTTTTTGTAGGTTGTGGTGTATCGAGGAACAATCAGGGAAAAACCAACTAGTGAAAAAGAAGCACGGGAATTCATCAAAGGTTTGCATAATGGACTTTAGTTCCCTCCTTATGTTGTTGAAGTTATTGACTAATATAACAGCCAAATTCAAAAAATTTGAAAATTTACAGGATATTCTGGTAGTCACGCAGCAGTAGTAGGATCTGTTATAGTAACTAACATTGCAACTGGAAAACGTTGTGGGGGATGGGACAGTGCAGAGGTATGAGTTGCTGCTGCTTGACCTTGTGTAATCTATTTTCTTCTGTGACAAGAAAAATCAAATTATTTTATGTTGTTTGGGTCATCAGGTGCATAAACAAATTCATTGATTCTTAGATTTAAGGAAGTACCTCGTGACATATGCATAAATTGCTGGAAATGCTTTTTTGAGGTTACTGGTTTGTCGCTCAGTATAAGAAAATTCACTAGCGGGGAAAGAAATTGGCAAATTGCCTTCATACGAAAAAGTATTCCCATCCTTTTTTATGTTCTCCGTGCCCCATCAGACTCAAGTTTTTTAGCTACCAACCAGACTTCACTGTTTTCATTGACACACATTGTATTCATTAATTCAACATTTCTCTTCACAGATAACTTGGCTAACATTTGTGTCTATTATGACAGGTTTACTTCCTTGAAATTCCAGATGAGGTCATTGATAGTCTGGTAAACTTTTTGGAAGTACACTTTTCACCCTTTCACTGAACTAAGTATGAAGGTGAAAAGGGTACTTTAACCAGTTTCTTAAAATACATGATCTTTTGAAACTTTATTTCAGGAAATTCTTGTCAATCTGAATACTATATGAGTTTTCTTATTTGATGGGAGCTTCTCAGATTGATGAGGGGATTACATTCAACGTTGCTGGAGGTTTGATGCTGGAACATCCACTGACATTACCCTTTGTGGATGCAGTAGTGAGTTTATCTTGTTTTCTCAATAACACCCACTTTCATAAGTATATGCATGCACATTAAAACATAAGATCCTTATGGAACCGTTGGCATCAGATCCACACATGATAAGCACTACTTTCATACCTTTTTTCTTGGGCTCCATTATTGAGACTTTGTAATCTTTTGCTGCCATTATTTGGGAGCTTTCTTTTATTTCTTCAAGAAAATATTTTCAGCTTTAGTCTTCACTCATTTTCAACACATATATGTCAATGCGGTTAATTTTCTAGATGAGCAAGATTTAAAATGTTTTTCATTAGTTAGATGTAAAAGTGGATTCATCCCTCTTAACAAATTGAGCTATGTGATGCTTGTGGTAGGTTGGCTCAGCGGATACCGTCATGGGTCTTTCCAAAGCTCTTACAGAGAAACTCTTATTGGAAGCTCTATAGATGATGCAGCAATAGTACAATTATATTCTGAGAGATTCCACGTGCTGGCTAAAGGCGAAAATTACTGCAATTATATTCAAAAATTGTTTGACCGATTCATGTAATGCAAAATACAAACAAGAATGCCCGAGACTTCACTGGTCATTTTTGTCACGAGCTGAAAAAGCTTGTTATTTAACTTTAATGATTCATTTCTCAGTTTTGCGTGCATGACATGATTGCGGGCTTTTCTCAGTCTTGCAAGGCATGATTGATTGTATCAGCAATTCACTGTTGGATTACAAGTTTATCACACCAATGAGATGCATCAGAGGTTATTCCTTTGAATTGCATTTTCCAGTCCAACTGTCCAAGGCTGAATATCAGTTCCGGGTGGGGTGGTCATTTCCTTTTACAACAGTACAGTTTATAAATTTCAAAGATTCTCTTGGAATTTACACTTTCATAATTCAGTACAAAAATTCTTGCCACAGCCCCATATCAAACACCAAGAATTTGTGGCCTAAGAATGCTCATTTTGGTGCTTGACTAGATCAGTTATTTTACTAGTGTTAATTCCTTCATGAGCATGGTGAGGATCTTGGGAACATTTAAGAACACAGTTTAACCCTTAACAAAAATTGAAGGAAAATGAACTCATACTCCTGCATACGGGAGAATTATATTCTCTTCTACTCCCCCCACTTCATTTTCACAAAGAAACCCTAAACTACATAATTGAAGGGAAAATAAAATAAAATTCCCGTCTGGTACATCTCATTGATGCAGTGGACAGTCTTCCAAAGATGGCATATTAGGTTTAAGAATGCTCTTCTAATTCTAAGTTTGAACCATTTCATATGAAATAACAATCATTAGTCAAACATGGAGATTCTAGAGGCTATCTCTTGGACCAACCAATCAAATCCCTCAAGCAGACCCTCACCAGTGTATGCACTACAGCCAACTATATTCCAGAGCCAAGATTTATTCACGGCTTCCAAGTTCAGTACCTACGCCATTTCTTTTGATTAGCCAAGGCATTGAATCAAGTATAATACACAATAGATATATCAAAATCAATTTTACCTTCAATGAGCATTGCTTGGATAGCAGATCACACAGCAGCTAACAATACAATGCTCTGTTAACACTAACAGATATTGCATCGCATAAAGTCCTAAATATTTTTTGGGCTTGAATATGTTTTTATTCTTTTAAATTTATGATAAATTTATTTTTGATCCTTTAAATTTAAAACATTTATTTTTAGTTCTTGTAACTTTTAAAAATCTTATTTTAGTTTTTCAGGTCATCAATAACATATGAAAAAAATTCTTTAATAAAATTTCAGTATAAAGACTAATTTTTTATTTTTGAAATTATAAGAATAAAAAAATTAAGTTTAAATTTGAGGGATTAAAAATAAATTTATGATCATATTTAAGTTTTTTTTTTTTTTTTTTTTTTTTTTTTTTTTTTTTTTATTAAAAAAAATA